TTACTTTAGCCTTTTACTTTCCAGATTTCCTTTAAGCACACTCTCTTTGAAACACAGAATGCAACTCCTGCCTTTCCAGTTTGACTCTTGATATCTCTCTTGCTCTTAATATTACTACCAAAGCAGAAAGCAAGCCAATTACTTCTTATATTTTTTGACTTCTAATGTAACGCTTTTGTGAGTTACTGAGAAGCTTGTCGACAGTTTTCATTCATTCTTTGCATCTTGAGACATGTAAGATGGTTTACCTTGCTTATATATTGCTTAATCTGAACCACAGTCTATGATGTCACTAAAATATACATCTATTACTGTGCTACCTAAGTATTTATGGTAATATCAGTCTGTATTTTAACTCCTTAAGTCAACTCTGGTGTTAAGTACCAGACCGGAAAGACTATGTCTTTGTTTAGACAACTTGTTCAACTCTGCATTTATTTTAAAGGAACTTTTACATACTAATATGCAGATTTAGTTTCATTGCAGAGTTTTCTGCATTGAGGAACAGCTTAATAACATTGTCTTTTTTGAGGGTATTGTAACAGCTTTACTTTTAAATTCTGGGTTTTAGGGCTGAAGACAACTTGCGAAAATAACATCTAGCTATCGAGCTACCACAGGGAAATTACCAGTTTCAGACCATTCAACCACTCAAGTATAAGAACTGAAAATGAGAAAGGACTAGAAAAGAAAAAAAAATCCTTTCTGACTAGTGCTGTTCAGGTGAAATGAAAGCGTTGTAAGTGCAAAATGTCATGCTGAGTGTCAAGAATAAACCCTCAGCTTCAGCCATGCTTGAAAACATCAAATGCTTACAACAAAAAGCCTCTAAATTGAGCTGATTTTTACCACTGTGGTATTATCAGTAGCTAAGCTGTTCTCCTTAAATTTCACATGCAGTTCTCCCAGAAAATAGGTTATCTAAAAGCAATCACATCTCTCTTCAGTGTGGTAAAAGGTAGGCTTTTTTTTTTTCCAGATTTCTCAAGCCTAAGCAACAAAATTTAAATCTTCTCTTTTTAAATCATTTTAAATCTTCTCTTTTATAATGGAGTTCCAGATGATGCATTAAAATTGAAACAAGTTCATAGTAGATTAATTTATTCTAATTAGCATTTTGAAGGCATCAGAAGTAGTGGTGGCCTTAGAAAGGTCCTGTCTTGGTTTGTCTGTCTCCATCCTAAAGAAAATATTTAAAACATTTCCTTCATGCAAACATCAGCCCATGTAAAGGCCAGACTGAAAGACACTTACACTCTTTCCCACAAGTTGTGTTTTTTTTCAGGGAGGAGTTCTTAAGAGTCCGCTCTTTCTCTATTTGGTTTTTATGTCAATTTTGAGTAGAAAAAGAGAACAAGGGTTTAGATCACAGCTCCCTCTTGTGTAACTCCTCATTAGTACAGAAACCTAAATTGGATAGTGATTTCTCAGACTAAATTATAGGAAAACCATTTCATCCCTTCAGTATTTCTTTTACCACTGGATCTTTCAGGAATATTTGTTTTTGGTGTCTTTGTACCTACAGCCGCATCTACAATCATATATGTCTCACTGTAATACTCAGTGTTTTAACTGCTGCAAAAATAAGCTAGTTTATGTTATATAATTGTATCACAGTTTATTTAGAGGTCTAAACTTTACTGAGGCCAGTTAAATCAGCCTGTTTTGCATTTGGTATTTCCCTTAAAATTGAGTACAATTTAACGCAGCAGGTTTTCTACCACTTGTACTTCTCTTCAGTGGTATTTTCATAGTACTTTCATATAACACAAACGTCTGTGTAGATAGCAGTACTTATTACAAAATTATTAATACAATGAGGCTGCATTAAAAACCACATTTAGAGGCTTGCTCAAGGGCAGAGTTGTTTTGATATTCATAATCTAAATTCTGGTGTTTTACTTAGAAGCAATGTTGTCTTCTCTGCTGATTATTGTTGTTGCTAGGTCTTTCTTAGGCGTAACTTTCTAGGATTTATGTTTTGATGGCTTTCTCCATGTCTGTTAGTCAGAGCTCTACCTAGTCAGAGCTCTACCTAGCTCCACCTCTACTTTTCGTGCCTGTGGGTGTTCAAGGTGCGAGCCCCTGTCGTGCTCCTGTTTTATCTTGGGGATGTCTCACTTCCTAAATGCCAAAATGATGTCTTTTTCTATCCCGATTTACTGCGCCAATATAACCAAGAATAACTAACATTGCGTGGCCTTCCCTCTTTGGGGGATTCAGTTTATTCACCAAACCACCAGAGTCTGCCGTTTTAATCCGAACTTTATTTGAAAGCAGGACAAACAAGGAAACACGGTCGCACGGCTCCGGGGTGAGGAAGTGAAGGAAATGGTGCTTTTTCACTGATCTTCCCGCCCTCTCCCTTCCCGGCTGCCGGTCGCCGGCGCCCTGCCCCGAGACGGGCCGCCCCAACGCCGACGCAGCTCGCGGCGCCACGTGAGGCCCTCAAGGCAACCAGCGCGGAGCCGGAGCCACGCAGCGCCGCGGACAGGCAGCGCGCCGGGCAGCCCCTAGCAGCCGTTGGGCGCCGCGGGGCCTCATTTCGAACGGCCGCGGCCCAATGAGAGGCGCGGGCGGGCGGGGCGGGCGCCGCGTTTGAGCCGGGCGGTAACGGGCGGCGGCGGTGGCAGCGCGGGGCGGGCGGGGAGCGGGGAGGCCGCCATGGTGCCCGGCAGCGTCTGAGGGGCGGCGGGAGGCGCCATGGCCGAGCAGAAGCGCAGCCTGGTGCGGCTGGCGGTGCTGCAGGAGCTGCGCGCCGCCTACGGCATCAAGGTGAAGAGCGGGAGCTGCCGCGCGGCGGCGAAGCCGGCGGCGGCCGCAGAGGTAAGGGCGGCGGCGGGGCGCGCGGCCCCGGCCTTGCCCCTCCTGCTCGCCCGGAGCCCCCGAGCCGCCCCTCGGGCGCACGCGGCAGCGCTACGGCCTGCTCCTCGTGCGGGAGCGGCTTGGCTTGGTTGTTCGTTCGCTTTTTGCGGTGCCGGCTGTTGCCCGCTGCGAAGTCATTGTGCTGCTTGCTGGGATGTGTAAGTAGTATGCGGTTTCTCCAAGCCCTCTGACTCAGAATATAGAAAATCAAGCAGAGCAAGAGGCACAGCCTTATCTATATCGTTTCTCGGTATAAAACGCGGCTCTGCACGTCTCTGTGTACTGCCTGTGCCTCGAGAGATGAAAACTGGCCCCGGGCTGCGCTGGCCTCGCGGTGCGAGCCGGGCTCCGTGCCGCGGTTGCGGCTGGAGAGGGAGCCCGCAGCCTCCAGCGGCCCGGCCCGGGCGGGGAGGGCTCAAACTGCTGATGTGTGTGCTGAAAAGTAAAAGGAATGAGGGTTTGGGCTCTTCCACACGTGGAAAAATCAACACACAAAACACACGTATCCTAAAATACTTGGACTTCGTTGAAGAACTGACTCCAAGTACCATAATGGCAGCTTGTGCTTCAGTGAAGTCTGTTCAAAGCCCTGTGGTCTCCTGGCAGAATTTAATTTATAAAGCACGGAAGGAGCCACAGTTAAGTCCCACACAGAGATCTCTGTGCAATGGTACAGCATAGACCTTTGTCAGACCATCTCCATTGCTGAGATATTACAACATTCCCTAAGTAACCCTTGCCCAACATAAGCTAAAAGAGTTGCACAAGTACGTGCCCTGGCTTGAGTTGTGAAGAGGAGAAAACAAAAGGTTGGAGTGACTTTCCTCCCCTCCGGCAAGCGCATGGACCTAGCCCGGGGCAGGAGGAGGGTGGAGAAGCTGCGAGGACTGTGAGTGCATCACAACAAAAGGGACCGGTGATAGTGCTGTGATTTACACCAAATGTAACTGCGGGAAACAACTGAGCAGGGAATTGTTTCTCACCAGCTGAAACGGGAAACAGTTGAAAATAGCGTTGGGGTTCTACTTCTGTTGTAAAAGAATGGACACTATTTTTTTTTCCAAAATGATCAAAATAAACCGTGACTTATGTTCTGTTAATTTACCGGGCTTGGACTAAGTATGAATTTTAGGTATTGAGTTTCAGGTTACTGGAAGCAGGAAGCATCATCTTGTACATAGAAACATTGTATCTTGAAGTTGTTCTTTTCTTTGCGTCTTTGGTGGCAACCTGGAATGAGCCAAGAGAAGCTTCCTGTTCTCTATAAATCCTGTTGTGCTTGTTTTCTCTAGGCTGGATTAGGCCAAAGGGAGCCTAACAAGGGGTGGTTACTGATTAACTAGTTTTTCCAAGTGATCAGCACTTTGAATTTCAGGTGTTAATGACTGCAAGTTTGCACTCTTCTCCAATAATAAAAATACAAACTTGGAATGCAAATTCTGGATGCTTATAAAACTGCCTGCCAGCTAACTATGGAACAAGTGTCTGAAGAAACTCCTTGTTTCCTGATAAGTCACAGGCAGACTCTTTTTCCTTGCTATAGTGTGGCAGAGTTATTTCTTAAACTCTCACACTTCTAATTTGTATTTAGAGCACTTCCTTAGACTTTCTTCTTGTTGTTGTTTCGTGGTGTTTTTTTGGGTTTTTGTTTAATCCTCTCTAAAACAATTCTTCATGCATCAGTTGGAAGAAGTTGTTGCTTTTTGAGTTGTTAATCAAATGTATGATATTGATTGGGTTTACCTTTTAAGAAAAATGGATTTTTGACATTTTGGAAAGTTAGATTTCAGAACAGTCTGTAAATATCCTTACTCATCTTGTGGCCTTGTAGTAAAACTGACTCCTTGTAAAATAAAATATGCAAAGCAAACTGCAAAAAACCTTTCTATTCTTTCCCAGTAATCCAGGCTGTTAATTTTAACTAGAGTCAGTATAGGCTCAGATATTTAAAGAAGATAGTGTCCCTTTGACAATGCCTTATGCTTTTCCTATCTGAAAGACTGCATTTTTTTGTCTTAATTATCCTTCAGCTTTTGCTTTGTGGGTTACGTGCATTTCTGTAAAATGTAGTTGATAATACTTCCAACCTTTGAATAACTGAACTTTATATTTTAGGGTAAAATCTTTGGAGTATCTTTTCATGCATTACCGCAGTCACTCGTGCCAGAATATGGAAGTATTCCAAGGTAAATTAATGCTGTATATTTGGATCTGTACTTTTTTTGCTCTTTGTATGGTACTGGAATTCTGTTGGAAATGGAAAACTCTTATTCTAGGCCTAGTGAAACTTGTGGGGGATACAAAGTAGTTTCTGTTGAAGGAGGAAGTTAGACCGGGGCGGATTTGGGGCCAGAGCTGCCATTCAGTTCTGTTTCTTTTACTGACTGTCATTGGGGAAGGCTGTCCTCTGTGTGTTTCTGTGTGTGTTTATCATAAGATAGTTCTAGGAAAGTGAAGCTTATTCTGAATGTGTGAAGTATGTTGTGATTCTTTCTTCAGCTTTCTTGTTGATGCCTGTGAATATTTAGAAGAACATATTCATACTGAAGGACTCTTCAGGAAGTCTGGATCTCTTGTTCGCTTAAAAGCACTGAAGGTAGCCTCTAAAGTTTTATTTTGATACGTATGTGCAGCATATATGCATAAGACTGATTTTTACTTGGCTGTCTCTATGTTTTAGCTTTTGAACTCTCTTCTGAGTAGCATTTGAGTTCCAATACTAGAAGTAGTGTGGTAATGTTATTTGCTTTAAAAATGAGAGAAGGAATCCCATTCAGAACCTGGAAAACAATTTTCCCTGCTTTATCTCCCAGGAAACTTTTCCATTTTCTGGATTGTGAGGAAAATGCTTGTAACCAAAATTGATAGCAGTTATATGTACTGGGTAGTACAGATCTTTGTAATGTCTGGAGATTTGTTTAGCAGTGTTCTCCCACAGAGATGAACAGGAGAGAACCTGTAAATTAATAATCTCTGCCCATTTGTGCCTCTTGGTAGGTACTGTAGTTAGGTAAAACATGACAAGTCTGAAATAAAAATTGGGGAAAGTTTGATGGTCGCTTCTGATATGGGCTAGACTTAAATATGTCTAAACCTAGAAACCTGGTGTGTTGAAGACTTCAAACTGTTTCTGATGAATAATTTCAGAGTAAACTGGATCAAGGTGAAAGCTGCCTCTCGACTGCGTTGCCATGTGATGTTGCAGGGCTTCTTAAGCAGTTCTTTAGAGAGCTACCAGAACCCATCCTCCCAACTTACCTGCAGGAAGGTCTCTTCAAAGCTCAGCAGCTAGGAAGTGAGAAGAAAACTGCCACTGTGCTGCTCTCGTGTTTAATGGCTGACAGAACAATTGAAGCTTTGCGGTATTTTTTCAGCTTTCTGAGAACTGTGTCCCTAAGGTCAGTAATGTACAGGGAATGCTTGTCTGGATGCTTTCTGTGAATCTTTTTTAACTTCAGACTTCCTAATTTGCCGTAGTAGTAATAGAATTCAAGCACAGTCTTTTCCTTCATTAATGCAATCTTATAAAATCTGATTATGCTGGAGACTTTTTTTGTTCTTGTTCTTTCATAGTTGTATTTCTGTTTCCTCTTTGGAAAGCAAAGGAGTAGCTGATGACGCTAACATCACCTGATTGATAATCTGCATACCTAAAACAGATGGGGATCTATAACGTGTTGCATTCAATAATGTAGTTATGTAGTTACTAACTTGGGAATGTGTGACAAACCTACTTGTTAATCTTGATGTATGAGCATGGAAGTGAGTGACTCCAGGGTCACCCTTGGTTTTGTTTCCAGTTGCATTTGGGCTATTAGTTTTTGCATTGCTCTTTGTCTGATAATTTGTTTTAAACTTTTTTCTTTCTTTCTTTCTTTCTTTCTTTCTTTTCCTGTTAAGATGCCACGAAAACAGAATGGATAGCAGCAATCTGGCAGTGATATTTGCTCCAAACTTGTTGCACTCAAGTGAAAATGAAAAGATGACAGTCAATACAGAAAAAAAAATTCGCTTGCAAGCTGCTGTTGTGCAAACACTTATTGATCATGCAAAAGAAATTGGTAAGATGGTAATGTTTATTTTAACGTCTTGTTACACATATTTGTCTGCAGCTGTTTTTTCCTCTTTTTGAAAACCTCTAAAAATATTTCTGAACTATTTCAGGACAAGTACCAGAATTTATCTCGGAGAAAATTCCTGCAATGTTGGGTATTGATGCTGTTCAGTCTACTCCCGCACTGGGGGGCCATGAGGATGGTGAAAGTGAATCTTCTAGCGAATGTAAAAGGAGGAGACAACGAAGTGTTGGAGGTAGGTATGTTTGCTGGAAACTTCAGCAATTAAAATGGACTGGTGAACTAGCAGAATAAGCTTCTGTGAAATTTCTTAGTTATTGTATAAACTTAAGTAATGATGTCAATCTATAGTGTAATGAAACTAAGGCTTTATTTCAGCATGTCTGTTTTCTGCCAAAGCACCTATTTTGCTGATATCCAGGCATATAAAGTTGAATCCTGTTGCAGAACACAAATAAATTAAGACTCTGTGTGTGTGTGTGTATATTATATGTAGACATAGGTAGTCTTGAAATAGCACTTGGATACTCAACAATTGCCTACTTTGGTAAGTTGATTCTTGAGTAAGAATATAAATGGCAGTGTTGAACTGGAGGATGGATGCTAAGTTGGACACTATTCTTGTGCAAACTAAACAATGTGTTACGTGACACTCTTGAATATCTTGCAGTATGAGTTTGTCAAAATTCTGCAATCAGTGTACAAGATAAAGTCTGGGGAGAGTCACAGTGGACTTTACATGTCTTTTTCATATATGCAGCTTAGAACTATAAGGGAAAAGTTCTTGTAAATCCAGAGCATTCACTTCTAATTATTTTCAAAACATAATTTTGTCCATTTTCATATATAAGTATGAAATGATGTTACTAAGATTTGAAATAATGTGTACTGGTATACTTCTATAAAATCATGCAAGTGGAACACTCGTTTAGTAGAACTTAGTTTTAACTGATCTGTGTTTTTTTTTCTCCAAACAGTTTTACAGAATTGCAACACAGAGTTGCATTTGATTTGTGAACTTTAATTTCTAAAAAGCTCTGGTGAAACTAGTGCATTATTATGGTTCATATTCAGCCAGAGTATCATCTTGGTGTGATGTGCTTGCCACTTTTTGAGGAAGGGGCATTCTCTTGGAGTTGCCAAGCAGCAGGTTGATTTGCCTGCAGCATATCAGAAGGCATATGGCTTAAAATAACCAGTAAAACTTCCTACAAAAGACTTACGTCTTTGCATGAATTGTGTTCTTGAGGAATATACATATATATATATCTTTTTCCTGATATTGTGAGAGTGGTATGCTCAGAAAATCTGGAATATGGAATGGTTGTTTTATCTAAACAACTGTTTTGACTGAATTGCTCTATTTCTTTCTGAAAGAATAAGAGTTAATTTTAGTTAAAAATAGAGCAAGACTAACTTTAAATATTTAAACATGATTGCTTGGTGTCTTGCATTTCAGATTTTGTTAGTGGGGCATTGAATAAATTTAAATCTAACAGAACACCCTCCACTACACCTCAGCAAGACAGAAGTGGTAGGTATTGGTGCCTTCGTACTAAATAGAGACCATGCAGTATCTTTGGGATTTGTAGACTATATTCAAAAAAAGTTTGAAACTTCATCAGTGAATTGCAGATAAATGATTTGGTTTCCAGTTTTGAATATAGCTACACTTTTATTGAGGATACTGCATTTATTGCTTCTGCAGCTGCCATCACTGCAGCAGTGGGCTGAGCAGCTCTAGGGTTAGAAACTAAGCTTTTGCTTTTTAACTAATGCACACTAAAGCTTTAGTGCAGTAGGACAGCATTTTACCTGATGAGAAGGAATTTGCTAAAACTGAATTTCTTTTGCTTTTTCTGTCCCTTAAACTTGCAGATGATTGTCCTTAGTGCGCTTTTTCTTAATAGTTATATTGTCTTGCACAAGTATGTAGTTTTGGATTATCTTTTCTGGGATGCTAACTTGGAAATACGGGAAATAGCCCAAAAAGTTAAATTGATTGTGCCTTGTGTTTAAAATGCATGCACTGTAATTAAGACTTTACAAGAACTCTTTACTTGTTCACGGGAGGGAGGAACAGGACCCTAAAGGCAGTCTGTAATAACAGTTTAAAAGGAGAATTCTACCTGAATCTAAGTTTAATAATTTTCTTAATTGCAGTCCTTTCGTCGGTGACTCCAGTGGTTCTTACTCCCAGTACCAAACGTAAGCTTCCATCGGATTGCTCTCAGGGCTTGTCTAGCAAGAAGAGGCGCTCATTTAAGCATAGCTTTGCTTTTGAGTTGTTACCAAGTAGCATTTTTAACAGCAGCTCAACACCAGCATCAGGTACAGTGCCTTTATTTTTTCTGTGCTGCTCAAAGTGATTACTTTTGGGTTTGTTTTTCTGATTTAAACATACAATATTTTGAGTTTTCTGTGCCGCCTTAAGTGCTTCTTATACTGCTTTCCTGTCTGAGTAAATATTCTTCTGGTTTTATGTTCATTGGTGACTGTCATGTCCAAAAATGTTGTGTGAAATTCCCCCAAAGGGAATTATTTTGGGAACACTCATTACCCCTCTCAATTCTGCAGTTAGGATGTCTTTTGATCTTTTCTAATCCCTTTGCTTCTTCCTCCCTGTATCCAGTGTGTGCTTTTATTTTTGTCTTTATAAACAAATCCATCAAGACTACCTTTGTTTCTAACATTTTAACTACTGCAACATTCTTCTCTCTTGTAAATACATGAATGACTGGTCTTGGGTCACATTTCATTCCAGTTACTTCAGAACTCTTTTAAAGGTTCTTTTGTGAATCCAGTCACATCTGGATCTTCTAGAATGTCAAGTAACTTCAGGCTTCTATAGAAAAAGCATTATCCTGTTCTTTTTGTTGAACTCATTACTGATACCCCCTCATTTTCTCAGTGCTTCTAGCTCTCAGCTTCTTGCACGGATCATATTTTATTTGATTTCTTATTATACTGCCACTGTAAAATTTCTGAGTTAAAACTTGTAGATTGGTTGTGTTGGTTCTTCCTAAATCTTTTCCTATCTCATGTGAATTGTATGAAATTGCCCGATTTTTTCTTAAAGAAATCACTTCAAGCTCATTATGAGATTCTTGCATTTAGGGGTAAATACATCGAAGCAGTGGCATCCTGTAACAATGATAGTAACGCATCTGTTTGCTTAGTCGAGAAATAGAATAGCACCTCTTCCATTTATCACTATTTTAATTGCTCTAGCTAAATATCTTAGATAAGAGTGGTTATGCTGCATATTGTGAACAATATCAAGACTGTATTTAAATTTTCTTCATGAAGTTCTTGAATTTACAAAACTGATTTGATGACAGTAGAAACTTAATTGGAAGAGTGACATCATTAGCATGCTTGTACATTTGTCAGAAGTATCTTCTTGGTTTGCAACCAACTGCTTCTATAGATGCTACGAGCACCTATAAATTATTACATTAATATTTAATAAAAATGGGAGTCCAGTCACATCAAGAAAAGGCAAAATCTGCTCTGTATAAACTTTTCTCTGTTTTACTGCTAAGAATGACTTATCAGAGAATGTGCTTGTTTAAAAAGTTTGATTATAATCTAAACTTATGAGTAATTTTTTTTCCTACAGTTCAGTTTGATGCAAGTCCTTGTGTTTCTCTTGAATCGTCTCAAAACTCGCTCTCTCCTTCAACTGTTGGTGAGAATCATCTGCCCAGTACAGGAAACAGAAGAACTAAAAGACATGCAAGCAGTAAACTGTACAGGTAATTTGTTTATGTTTGCAGAAACTAAAGATAAATTGAAGAGAATTCTATATAGTTGGACTAATGATGTGTAAAGTCTGATTCTTTAAAAATGATCTTTCTTGGTGTTTAAAAGAGCCTGACTTTTTAGTCTTAAAAAAAAAAAATCCCAATGTGACTCTAGTGTAGCTTCACCAGGTGATTTTAGTGCAATGGCTTTAAAGAAACCTTCCTGTCCCTACTAAAGCTTGTCACAAAGACTATAGCAGATCTCAAACTAGAGGAAATAACCGGTGTCGGGATGTTTACAATTTCACTGTATTGCTTTTTAGTTTGTTTTTTTCTCTGTGTGTCACTTCTTCATTTCCCTTTTTCCCTCTAGGGCTGAATCAGGAAAAACAGGTTGCTTTTCTCCAAAGATTAGCCGAAAAGAAATGGTTCGTAGGTCCTTACGCCTTAAGTTTGGTTTGGGGAGGAGCAACAGAGACATAGTAAGTAGGCTGCTTCTATAGCATTCTTGTTGCTTAAGTGCAGGCTTAATACTTGGGAACCGCTTTTCAGTGGCGAGAAGAACCAGTTTTGATAATAGATTGGTGGTTTTGGATCACAGCTGGACCAGCTACTGAAGCTCTAGGCTTACTTTCCTAACAGTTACTGTTCAACTTGGGCTCAGGAAGTCAGAAACTGTCAGGTATTGCAGAGCACATGCATGTATCCAGTGTATTTGTGCTGCTGCAAGTGTGCCCTGCAGCAGATTTGCACTTCCCTATCTAGGTCTACAGCGTGATCATGGAAGATGAAGGGATGGCTAGGGAAAGGCTACTATGGCTATGACTTGTCTAGTCTTTTCCTGACCATTTTTCCCAGGTGCTCTATTATGTAAAATCTTTTGCAAATGAGATTCTCAACCTGAGTTTAAAGAATAATGCCTTTGGTCCTTTCCAGAATATCGCGTCAGGATGTGCGGTTGGTAATAGATCCGAAAACATTGGGAGGCGTCTTGCAGGGCAACAAGACTTGGAAAGCAGAGATGAATGTGCAAAAAGAGATATACTCTTCAGCCCATATATCAGTGAAAAATTCTCCAAGAAAGGTGAACATGTGACAAGTTATAATAAATGGGAAAAGTTTTTGATTTAATGAAGGAGCTGCAAGAAGGCGTCAGATGAATTAAGTTAAAGGTGTTTCTAGTGAGAAGGGCAAGAGTTGATGGAACAATAGCAGTGGTTCCTGGGTTGGGGAAGGGTTACTTAGTACAGGCCTGCAGGATGTTTGCATTTTTGGTAGTTATCTTCCTATTTTATCTAGATAAGATACATGATTTCAGTTTTTGATATTGTAACTCTTTTTCACATCCCTGAAACTTAAGGGAATGATAGTACCTTAAAATCAGTGCTGCTTAGATGATTAGGTTATTTTTAGTAAGGATTTTGTCTTTCATCAATAATTTCCTTACCCATTTTCTAATCACAATATTCTTAAATATTGTGAAATTTCTTTTAAGGTTCAAAGAACGTAAGCAAGTCGGAAGAAAACTTGTTAACTCCAAAGTGTCATGATAAAGTAGTTTATCGAATGTCTTGGAATAGTCCTGCTGTTACAGATGCTCAGGAGATCAGCAGCAATGAGAGAAGTCTGACAGGACACTGGGAAGCTGGAGTTGGTTCTTCTGAATCTGTCTTTGTAGCTGGAAAGTCATCAACTGTGGATCTGAATTCACCTGAAACTACTGAAAATAAACAAGACAACAGCTTAAAACTCTTCCTATGTGAGGAAGAAAATGTGGCTACAGAAACGTTACTGAAAGTTAAGGAAGCTTTTTCTGTATCTGGAAACAATCTGCAGGATATGATAACTGATACAAAGTCTTCCTTGTTAGATGTTACAGAAGAAACATTAAGTGAAACCCTGTGCCTTACAGGGTTTAGTCCGGAGGAAGAAAAGCTGACTGAAACAAGTTTAGCAAATACAGAATGCAGACAGTTGATGGAGCAGGTTAATCAATCCTATGCTGCTGATAGACAAGAATCAAGAGAAGATGAATCTAAAGTTTTGGAGAAGAGATTCCAAAGTTGCATTGAGATTGAACTTCAGGTCCACAAACAAGACACAAAATGTGTAAAAGAACTTACTGTCCCTCAAGGAACGGCAAGTGAAGACGAGTTGACTTTTCAGAACAGTTCCTTAAAAGATGGCTTGAACAAAACAGATTCCTCTGGGGAAAAAGAGGAAATAAAATTAACACCCACCGGAGTGGCTGAAAACTGTACTGTAAAATGCTGTAATTTAGAAGAAGCTACTGCTAAACCTTCTGGAGCAGTACAGCTTCCTATTTCACAGCTACATAAATCAGGAAATGAACTCAGCAACGAGTGCTTGCAGGTTGAAAATTCAGATAAAATTTTAACTAAAACAGCAGCCGTTTCTGATCATGGAAAGGTTTCTGACCACATACAGTGGTTCAACAAACTTTCATTAAACGATCCGAGTTCTGCAAGCAAAACGAAGCCGCCTCTCAAGTTTCAGCGTACCCCTGTGCGGCAGTCGGTGAGAAGAATGAATTCCTTATTGGAGGCCAACAGGCCAGCTGCGAGCGGTCGGCTAGTCCAGCCCAGTGATGTTGGCTCGCCTCTTGTGAAGTCTTTGAGCTATGATTCTGCACTGTCTTCCTGCACAGAACAGCCCTCCAAGAGTTGCCCAGGTTTGTCCCTCAGGAATGAAGGTGCAAGTGACCAAGTTTCTACATCCCATAAGCAGCTAGACTTGACATCCAAATCATGTTGCAGACAGTTAAATCCACTAGAGAAGCCTGATCTTTCTGTAAGAACTGATGGAATCTACAAACAGAATATAACTGTTAATCTGTCCAAATCTGTTTTAGAAGACGTGACCAATCATGAAGCAGTGAAGTCTAGCATGAAAGTAAATGCAGGTACAAATATTCCAGGTGCTGTGCCAGAAAAATGCACCATCACAAAAAACCCTCTGGGAAAAGAGAAGATTCGTTATAGAGGCTCTCCAAAGAATCCAATATCTAAAGTGAAACTCCTACCAGCTATGAAACCAGTGGACTTATAGGATTAAACAGGGGGCTAAGTGGCTAATGAGAATGGTTAAACTTCTTGTGTGTGTGTGTGAATTCTTATGTTCTTTTTTTTTAATTACAAGTCATGGGGTTGCACAAGTTGCAATGTCTGTTCTATGTTGATTTTTTAAAGTTTTTTATAGATGCTTGTCTTTTTAAACGGATATGACTTTTACAGATGTTAGCATTCGCTAAGGATCTGTTGGATACCTTCTTAAACCTGCATATCCCCAAACCAAATTTAAATTTAAATCTAAATGCAGCATTTATACAAAATATCATTAACTTTTTCCCCACAAATCAACAGATATCTGAAAATAGATATCTTAATGCTGAGTATAGCTGTGTTTAAACTTATTCTGTGTTTTGTAAGTGTCTTTTAGCCCTACCTAGATATTTAAGTTAGACCTCATACCATCTCTACTACTTTTGAGACCATGACTTTTATTTTTTTATTGGAGTAAGCTGGAAGCATATCCTTTTTGAGAGGATAAACAAATCATATTTTGCCATGCATGCGTTTTAGAAATCCATTACAACGTATGGGACAATATGTAGCTGAAATGCAGTGTAGTGAAATAGAGAAAAGCAAGTCTTACATTCCTCTGACAACTGACATTCCTTAATGTGTATGAAGTGTCTTCAGTTGTCGGTAGTAAAATGTTTTATCTTGATATGAGAAGCTGGTCTTAACTTATTTTTAGAGTAATAGAATAGTGCTAACTAGGTGGTGCAGGAATGCAGATTTTCAGATGCTGATTATGTTGCTGGAGACAAATGTAAAAAGCCATACTGTGTTTAAAAGTTGATTTGCACAAGCAAATGTTTACATCTCAATTAACTGTTTGTCATTGGTTGTAAAATTATTTAAGAGTAAACACTTGAAATTGTTCATTAGCTTTCTGTCAAATTGCTGCTTGGCAAGATGCAAGAGCTGAAAGCACTGGATGCTCGTGGTTTTAATAAAACCATTGTTTTTGTTCCTTCTCTGTCACCATTCGTTTCCAGGGACCTAAAAATTTAGCTTATAGCCTTGCAGAAGACTGAGAATGGGACATTAGTAAGTAAAAATCTTTGAGAAATAATTCTGCTATGAGGCTTCAGTTTTGTTGTCTTAAAGTTTGAGTCTTAATTAGCAAAATCACAGCACAAAACAAATATTTTAATGGGCCCTAGGCTTCTGAAATGCTGGAGTGATGTCTCTTTGGACGAGCTTGCTTGCTGTTCCTTTCCTTCCCCGTATTCCCAGGGGTACTGTGTGAGCTGTTTCATTGCAGTGACCCTGGTCCTGAACTACCCCCTGTTACTGCTGCATGATTTAGGTGCAGCATGAGGGAGAGCTGAGGAGCAGCAGGAGGTAAGGAAGCACTAACCTGGCTGCACAGGCCTGTTTCTTACAGCGAAGGACTGGGTGAGGCTTCACTGCCATCCGAGGAAGAGGCAGCTTCTCCCCGAGCTCTGCTGCTGCCTTCTGCTCTCAGCAGGTGCTGGCAGGTCCCTCAGGAGGCTGAATTCGTGTCCTAGGGCGCCCTGCTTCCCATCCTCACGCAAGGGGCATGGACTGAGCCAGGCAACTGCCAGCAGCCACGGCTGATGCAGGGCAGGAGGGACGAGATGGAAATAGGGCGGAAGGAGATGAAGCAAATGTGAGAAATGGGAACAAGCTCTTGTTTCTTTGCTCAGCTGTGAGCTGTTATGTCACCCTCTGCTTGAAAGAGGGAGACATGAGATTGCTTTTTCCATCTATGTACCAGGTATTTTTCATATTAATGAGACTTGAATGTTTCTAGAGCTAGGATGGAACACCTGCTATTATGGGAAGAGCTCTCTGGATCAGGGTTTTATAATAGGGATTATTCTGGATGCCATCCTCCTTAGTCATGAAGATTTATTAGAAATACTTGTGCTTTGTGACTTGGGTTGTCTTTGATCCCAAGCATTATTAAATGTTGCTATAGTTCGAAATACTGAAAGATATCTTCATGCAACACAAAGGCCTCACAGCCCTTTGCATATATCTAATGGGAACAATCCCTTTGCTGCTGATCTGTTTCTTACAGCTTACAAGAATTGGCATCCCAGAAGCTTTTAAATTCATGGGATTAGTTATTTGGGAAGTGGGAACTGCAGTGGAAATGTCCCTTTGTTGGAGGAGCCACGAACACTGCTGGTCTGGAGTGCCTGTGCGTGAGGAGTGGCAGCTCGCTGGTGGTCAAATGTCTCAGCTAGCTCCTGCTTCCCGAGCATGGGCAAAGCTAGCGAGAAAGGGGCTAAAGGATCTGGGAAGCTTTAAAACAGGTGAACTGCTCTATGAGGGAGATACAGTAAAGGCCTCTGACCTTCCCTAGGAGAAGCTCTGGGGTTAGGAGGCAGAACCTGTGGGAAGCCAAAATCAAACCAAGGTGATCTGCAAAGCAAAGGGAGCTGTGGCCTCTCTCCTTATTGGGTTCAAAGCAACCTCTAGATAAACCTATGTGTACATAAAATTCAATCATGTCTGAGCAAGGGGTGAGAAATTCTGGCTGCCCCTTCACAGTCCAGCTTAGTCCTCTAAGCTGCAGAGATGTGAGATACTCCAAAAGCAGGGGCCAGAGTGGGCTCGAGGTGAAGAGCAGCTCTGTTTCTGGGGCTTTCCAGGGGTTTTCTTGTATCCCGAGAGGAGTGTTTCACGTTGATGGTAGTAGCGGTTACCAAATTACATAAAATAGGTTATAGAAGTTATTGCTTTGCCAAGTGCTCTACAGTAAGTGATCGGCTCCCCTTAGTGAGGGCCTTTCACAGGCTCATGGGGTTTATTTGCTTCGTTTCCTCACCCCTCTGCCCTGGGAACCTTCCTGTGCATCGCGGGAAACAGGGAGCCCTGCTCCTGTCCCCGCGGGAAGGTGGCCTCGTTCTTGTCCCTGTGGGAGCCTGTGCTTGCGCGGCACCCTCACCCATCGATGAGAGAGAAAAAAGCATGAGAGAAAAAGGACGATGGGAGAAAAAGCATCATCCAGGAGAGATGGTCATGGCTGTAGGCGTGAGTAACATCTTTCGGTCAGGCTGTTGGTCTAGCAGCAGCTTCCTGGTTATTTTTAGACTATGATATCCAGCTGAACCCTGGGGTGCTGAAGAGCCCATCCAACCCCGGCTTTGTATGACCCCGTTTATCCCATTATTTTTTTTTTAACTAAGTACCGTGACAAGGAGCCTGCGCAGGGCCGAGCGCTGCCGGCCGGGGGGCGGAGGGGGGGAGGCCTCGGTCCCCGCGGCGGAGGCGGCCGTCACCGCCGCCTCGGGGCTGCGGCTGCGCGCGGCGACTGCGCGGGCGCGGAGCGGCGCGGGCGGCGCGCGGTGAGTGCGGCGGGGACGGGGGCGGCTCGGGGGCGAGCTGCAGCTTTGGGGGGCGCCGTCCCGCGCGTTTGCGGTGAGCGGAACTGGGTTACACAGGGAGAGGAAAAAACGGTTTATTTTTCCCCTTAAAAAAGCTCCCGAGATGGTGGGTTCAGCCCGGTCGCAGGTAGGTGCCTCCTGCAGCAGGAGGAGGCAGGGGTGCGGGGCGTCAGTGGCGGAGAGTGTTTTCAGCCCTGCCTGTAAGAGGATTATTTTTTTTTTCTTTCCCCGCTGTTTTTGCCCTGAGCGCATCCTGGGAGGTGGTGCTCACGGTGGAGCATCCTTAAATGGCTGATCCTGGAAAAGCAGGGAGATGAGAAAATGGAGCGGGTGGGGGGTTATCTGTTTGCGGGGGAGGGAATGGATGCATGGGTATATGTATGCATAATTCTATGGCATGAAGGGAAAACAAGCTGTCGGGAATGATCACCCAATTAAAATTCAGGCTTGTAAAATGAATAGGAAAAAAAAATGAGGTTATCGGCTTTTGTGCCCACGTTAATTACAACAGAGCAAACATTTAGTGAAAGGCTTCCAAGGGGAGCAAACGAAAGCTAGTTGTTGCAGGTGGGGAAGCTGATGCCCGGATTGCGTATAACATCCTAAGAGAGGAACAGTAACGTTATTCAGCTCCTTTAGTGGTTTCTGGTGCTTCATTTCTAAGTGCAGGAATATAGCTTGGAAAATAGCTTGAGCCCGAAGAGTTCTCTGTGTTCAACCCATACTTGTCTAAAACAAGATATTAAATGGGGTGGAGGGAGACGTGTTTCATTAAGTGAGGCAGCGGATCTATTTGTTTGAAGGGGCTGGTTCCTGGATGCTGTGAGCAAATGCGAATGGCCCGGAGGGATCTCGGAAACCTCCTCCTGTTCCCCTACCTTTTCGACAGCAAGAGCCTCCCTGCTCCGATTCCTCCCACCCCGCGCCTTTCCCGCAGACCCCAGGAGCTCGGGTGCGTTTATCGCAGCAAGACCAGCCGAGCTATTTCCAGAGCCTTTCCTGCTGTCATTTATCACCAGATTCTTTCCTTCTTCGCAGGTGACCAGAATGGCAACTCCTTTGCTTTGCAACGTGGCGCTTCTGCTGCTGCTTGGATTGGCCTCAGCCTTTAGCCACAGCTCTCGGAGCCCCGATAAGGTTTCTGAAGCAGATATCCAGAGGCTCCTCCATGGAGTGATGGAGCAGCTGGGTATTGCCAGACCCCGAGTGGAGTATCCAGCACACCAGGCCATGAACCTGGTGGGTCCGCAGAGCATTGAAGGTAGTTGACTTAAACTTTGGATTATACTGAATGTATCAGTAATTTGGTAATTCTTAGCCTGCAGATAATTGTTGTGAGCGTGTGTCTGAAATTATGGGGTTCTTTACCTTGTTTTTGCCTGCTGCTTGTTTTAAAATCCTCATCCTTTCTTTACTGTCCTTTAAATAATGATTCTGGCACAAGAAGTGGTGATATTTGGAAAAAATGGTTCTTAGTAAAAGTTATGTTGTCCTAGAAATGTCTCAAAATGGCTTTGTACAAAATCTCTCTCCTGTGTTATGTTTATATACAGTATGCTGTAGCAGCGGACAGTCCACTTACCTCTTTGTTGGTATAAAACAAACATGAGCTGTAGAGCTGAAACGCCATGGATTTTTGGAAATATTTGTGAACTAGAAGAACTCGAAAAATGCTCTTGTGCAAGAGGAGAGGGGATTATGCAGGGGGCTCTACCTGTGTGCCCCAGGACACTGCAGCTCACTGTGGGAAAGGATCAGAGATCCTGCACGCAGTGGGAAGCTCATGGGTGCAATGTTGTTTGAATTGTAATGTACTAGCTTTTATTTTGAGAATTTAGTGAATGGTTGAACGTACATAATACTGAATGTATCATTTAATGTGCAAACATCGAAAACAGCAGGGAATTCCAAATCTTTCTCACAGTATAACCAGTCTCTCACAGCATACCATGTCTTTAAAGCTCGTGCTGAGTCCTCGTTCTTCACTTGGTCTGCATTTGGAGTTAAAGAATGTCATAGTCAAAGATAAAAACGCCTTAAAGGCAGCTTTAGGAGAGAAATAAAACTGAATATGCATTTATGTAAGATAACTGTTGACCTAAGCTTACATTTTTACTAGAGAAGTGTTCTTAGATACATCGTTATTCTGCAGCCTTAAGTGGCAGTGATTAGGCTTAAATTGGTCTGCACCTTTTCTTGCCTGTTGAGTGTCATGACTCAAGAGTGTGTAAGTTAGCAGAGACTGGCAGAGGTAGGTAGGCTGACTCGCCTGCTCCTTCTTTTTCCATACTTTTTTATTACCCCTACAAGTGTAAGGAATAACAGGTTTCTGATCCTTGAGTTTTTATCTTTTTGAAAGCAGAGAAATTGCATGTTAGCCTTTAATGAAAAGATGAGGAAATCTGGACCTCTAACAAAGAAATATTTCATCTCAGCTGTTTGCCATTACTATTTAATTACAGTGATAGCAAAAACAGATTAAGAATTTCTTCTCTTAAATCTTGAAACTCTTCTGGTGCCTGTGAACTAGAATAATACTAGTTTCCAGTCAGCCCTACAACTTACCACAAAAAAAAAAGGATGGGCTAACCTTTGACTTTTTTTTTCCTTTTTTTTCTCCTTTTTTTTTTTAATAAAGTGCTCATATATAGATATCTCTTCTTTGGATATAACAGATTAAAACTGAAAGGGAGTAATTTCACTTTAAAAATTACATTTAACATTCATCCTTTGATCAGCTGTGGATGACTTTATTTTAAGTGTACGACAGTTATTTAACATTTTATTGAGAACTCTCTACAAAAGTGAAACTTGAGATAAACGATATCAAGCAGTGTTAAAATAGACATGCAAATCAGATCTTCATGTCAGATATTTCTTCTTGCAAAGTCTTCTAGGTTTTTCAGATAAAGATCACTTACTCTTTCCTTGGTTTCAGTGGTGACGGGTATATATGCCTACATGCAGATATCTCTTAACATGTCAGGTTAGAGACTTAAGCTCACAAAAAATTTTGAAAAAGTTATTTGCAGCTGCTTTGTTTACAATTCCAAACTTAATTTGATCTCTTGTATAATACTGTATAATATATAATACTGAAACAATTTAAAAACATATAATTTGGTAAGTTTTGCTCCATTAGTTTGTTTTTAAATGTACACCATGAATTACAGTATAGCTAATTCAGGAAAGTCAGCATTGCATTCGCCACCAGCAATTTTAACTACATTGTAAAAGACTTCAGAGTTTAATATACTGGTTGCCAGTATATGCCAAGATATTACATACCAACAAGTATCTAACACTTGTTGCTTTGGCTTATTGTTATGTGTGCTAAAATTTGAGGAAAAAATATACAAGTTCTGCTTGTAGTAAGTGTCAGTGCATTCGAAACAGAATTGATGACAAAGAACAGCAAAATGTTATTTAAAATAGCCTGCTTTTATGAGAGGTTTCTATGTATTAACTTATGCATGCAGGTGTCTGCCTGCAAAATTGCATTTTGGCCCTGCGCTCTGCCCGCTCATTACTGTCTTTCCAAGCCTCTGGCATTGCTGACCCCCGAGCAGCTCCAGGCTGCTGACGGTTCCTAAACAAAATGAAATGGGAAATGGAGTTGAGCGGAGCCCTTGCCCTCTGGAGAGGGATGAGGGCAGGAGGCACCTGAGCCCGACTCCCCCGAGGCCTTGCCATGAAGTGCGGTTCTCACTGCTGCTGAAATACTGTGTTCTTCTTGATCTCCCTCATTTTGTTTGGGGCTTTGGATCTTATTCTCTGTGAAACGGTTGCATTTAGAATTAGAACCAGAATCTTCTCTCATCGTGTTTGTGCTGAACCTGTGCTGAACTCGTGCAGCCTGCTTGTGTCCCAGCTGCTGCTTGGCCAAGGCACCAGGAGACAACTGAGCAGCACAAGACACAGGTCACGGGCTGTTATGTTTAAGCAAAGAAGCCCGTGTCCGCAGCACAATAAAATTTTCTATGGACTGGTGGAGACGGGACTTGTAACTAACACTTTAGTCTTCAGTTTGAGTGGAAAGGCAGGGTTTGGAACAAACTGAGGCGAAATAGTGGTTTTTTCTTATTAGAAATAATCACAGCAAAGTGTTCATTGCTCACTACTTCCTTGAGGGTCTATCTTAACAGGGGAGTTTTTGTTGGTTTTTTTTTTTTTTTTGATTTGCTATTTTCCGTAAAAGGAGTGGAGTGTGAAGTTGCGTATGAAAATCTCAGATTTATGAGAAATTCTGAGCTGCCAATAGTGTTGGTTTCCGTCCATTTTCCAGAACATAGCTTGCAACTCATGTAGACACTTCAAACCTGGTTCATGTGCCTGTGCCAGCTCCTCATCACCCTGTCACTGTTTGGGCATGCATCTGCTTTCCATTTTGACCAGATGTTGTATCTCAGAATAAGAAACATTAACAATTAAGTATTTCTCTACAGAAAAATTGTTTTGAACAGAATGTTTTCCTTACCACTTTTGGGGGAGTCAAAAGTTGCCCAAATAGATTTGCTGTGGATCTGGAGCGATGTTGGAAGTGTGGGTGCCACCAGCCCCACCAGAGCCAGGATTCCAGCAGTGCCACCGAATTTTGAAAAGGTCGAGATTTCATCAAGAATAGTTTTAGAATGTGGTGCTGTCAAGAAGAGATAAGTTCTGGAGCTTTGGATTTTATTAAAACAAGAAAAAAAAAAAAAAGAAGAAAAAAAAGAAAAGCTGAGATAATATTGTCGTGTTTATACTAACTGCTTTATTCTTGTGAAATGTTTGCAGATTTCTGAGTGATTATTATAACAAACTTTTTCCAGCTGAATAAAATCATAATTTTACACATAACAAAAATACTATTGCTGTTAGTTCACAAGCAGATTTCCTAATTACACCCTTTTTCCATCTCTGCTATCTTCATCTTTTCAAATAATAATCATCACTTTTTGACTTAAGATGTGAACAGCCAGTCTGAATGTATTGCAACAACCTCCAAATCTTTTTTATTTTTTTTCTCTCCAAAAACGTTTAGGGCTGTCTAGGCAGGAGTCAGCTGAGCGCACACACACTTGCTGTTTACCACATGCAGCCGCTGAAAGATGGACACTCCCAAAGAAATGTATTTACCCAGCGTGTGTTCTCTTTCCTGAGTGATCACTTAGCTTTGTTCTTGATGCACAGGACAAAAATGTGTGGCTTACTCATTGAAGGGAGATGTCACTGCTTCTGCTTATGTTAGAGGCTTTAGATTGCTACTTTCTGTTTCTACTTTCATTTCCTTCCCTTTGCATTTGTCAGTTTACCTGTGTGTTACATCAGGGCAGTCTGTAAAATAGGAATATTCCTGTGCACTGCAGCCAGCTGATGGTGCATCGCGTGTGTAAGCACAGCAGACACCGAGCTCAACCTACCTGATCAGGGAGGGGTTGGAAAAAAAGGCACAATAATGAGTTCTCTGTTAGTAATGGAGTTGCTTTAGTTGTTTTTTTATTTGTTACTAAAATACCGTGCAAGTACTGCTGTGCCATCTTCATGTATCCCACTGAGAACAACACGGTTGAAGCTGTTAAGAGGGAACAAAATGCAGTAAAACAGTATAATATGCTTTATGAAAGATGCAACATAGATGTTAAATGGACCAATGCCTTCAGCACTGCAAAACCATAGAAACTGGGATTTTCGGCCTGACAAGATGTTTATGAAGAAGGGAGTTACATGTTTCTTTTTGCATGGAAATACTATAATTTACAGGTGTTAAATTTGTGCAACCATTTGCTTTCTGAGCTTCCGTTGTACCATGTGGAGGAGAGCAGTAAAATCTTGCTTTAGACACATGAGGGCAGCAGCAGCTCGCCTCGGGCCATTTAAAGCCTTATTTCTTGGTTCTAAAAAGTCTTATTTTATTTTTGAAAACATTGCCTGCTTACAATTCCTTGGGAAAGCATTTTTGCTTCCCTTATAATTCAGTCCTCCAAAAAATATCTCGGGATTTTTTGGCCTGATTTGGTTGGTTTTTTTATGTGTTTGCTTGTTTGTTTTAGCATGTTTTAAAGGAAGCTGTGGTTGACATAGGTGCTGGCATGACAGCCCAGAGACTCTAAAGCTTTCAGCCTTCAGAAAGGCTTAGTGCTGCCAACCTGAATGGAAGCATTAAATAATGTCCCTTAAATCCTGCCCGGATCATTTGTAGAAAGGAAGCAAAAATGGTGCCTCGTTCAGGAAGGTTGGCCCTCCTGCAGAGGCTGCTGCCCAAAGGAAGACGTTTAGTTT